GCCAATAAATTTTCCAATTGTCTCAAGAAAAGAATAAGAATGCATCTTGTATGCCTTGGTAGGTTGCGGATAGACGGAAGCGATAACCTTATATCTAGGTTTGAATGCATTGTGCTGGAGAGTCAGAAAGAGCGAATGCAGTGACAGGCCAAATACAATACCAGGACTAGTCAGAGAATTGCACAGAATTAGCAGTGCCCGCTTCTTCAGGGTGATTAATCAACAGAAATGACGTGAGACAACGGATATTGTAAACAATCCGTTGGGACCTGGTCTATTTAAGCTAAAATGTTAGTTAGTGTAGACATTCTGGATCTCTAGAAGTGGATCACGCCAAATTTAAAGGCGGTATTGACGACAGAATCGGCTATCTGCCCCCTCCCCTCAAAAGTGCCCTGATGACTGGTACATATAACAATTAAACAGTGTGAGCAGAAGTGGGATGAATGAAAATTAGATAATGCTCAATCGATGCCCGGAATTTGAAAGTTAGAAAACAAAAAATCTTACCATGAGGCAAAAATCAAGGCCGACTTGTGAGAGTGAACCCAGACACTGCAGTTGAGATCCGAGGTGGCGGGGGTGGTGGAGGTGCCTGTGAGGCTTGCTGGGTCGACCCTGAGCTTCCTGGCCCACGTAACCGGGGATGATGCGGTGGTNTCGGACCAGCCGCGAGCGGACGAGAATTGAGCGGAGCACAGCTGCTACTGTTGCTGCTACTACTGCTACTCGTACTGCTACATTTTGAACTGAGCACTGTGTTCTGGGTAGCTCGAGTATCCACTGGTCCGTTGCTACGAACCAAACGGACCTGAGAGTCTCCGTTCGGATTTGAATGCGCGACACTGACTTGGGCACCGCCGTTACGACGAGGTCCCTCAGACGTGGAACTAGACGCAGTGGATGACGCGGTGGTGGCGATATCAACGGCAGGCTTGGAGCACCCGCTGGAACCTATGGTGTAAGGTCGTGTTTGCGAGGTGTTACTAGATAGAATTTGAGAATGTGCGGGTGCAGGTGGTGGTTGGACGGGGACTGGAGCCATTTGGGGTGTGGGTGGAAGTTGAGGTGGAGATCGAATTAAGGGATTCACGTGTGGATCGATAGGCTTGTGAGCAAAACCGGAGTGAGTGTGATCAGGCTGTAGTGATTTAGAACCACGGGACATAGACGGAGGTGGTGGCGGGTCACGACCGAACTGGTGTAATTCACTATCAGTACTTGAGGACGATGTTGAATAACCTGAAATAAGAGAAAATTAAGCAAATCAAAAAAAAAAAGGCAATGGGGAGGGATGTTGAGTGAAATTAGACTAATTATCCATTTTCAAACATAAACTACATCTTTCCTCCTCCAGCTTTGGCGAAAACCCGCAGTCCCAACCCGTAATCCTTCAACCAAAACCCGAAGTGCTTTAGCCACGACCTGTAACCCTTTAACCCCGACACACAAAGTTTGGTTTTGCTGCAGTAGACGAGTCAGATCAAAAAGTATCGGAATATTCTGAAGCCAACGGATGTTGAAACATTTTACTTTTTGCAAATGTTGATTTTCCAAAGCTTGGTCAAGAAATAACGTGTTGACTGGAGAAGATTTAACCGATGTGCAAGTATCGCCCAACCATTCGGCACATTTTGTGCAGCTTCAGTGTTCCTGTGAGTAAAAATCTCAGGAAAAACATAAACGGCATATTGTTTTGTATTCACAACTGAACCCTCTTCATGAGAAGTGGATACCCAAACGTGCCCAGGATAACAAATACTGTTCACAAAAAATACACCCCCATTACACTTCTTTGGGTGCAAATCTGAAAAGTGCTATAAACGATTCATTGTTTTGCATTCGCAAATCCTGAAATAAATCAAAGTGATACCACAAGAAAGTAAATGCTAACCGTTTCGTATCTTCACTTAAAGTGAACTTGGTTTATGAGAAGTGGAAACATTGCCAGTCCGTGGAAAATGAACACCCTGGAGTACACCTTTTCTCATCAAGCTTTAAACGAAACCCGCATTAACTGAGCCCCGAAGGCGGTAATTATGTCAAATGAATTTGGCAAGAGGTGGGAGATTTGATCCAACTTTATATATTTCGTGATTTAGACAGTGCTCTTCATCAGGAGTCACACGGATTGAAGTCTTTGTAAAGGAAAACCTAGAAATGCTGCTATAACGTGAAAAAAGATTAAAAGATCTAGAAAACATGACGCTTCCTCAATTTACCAGACTAGGGGGAATATGAGACAGCAATGTAACCAAATGGAGAAGAATGCATACAAACATAAATTTGAGAATACAGTTTTTGTGATCAGCTAGCTTGTTGAGTTTTTCTGCATGAGACAATGCTCTGCGAACATCGTGAAAGCCTTTTCAATATGATCAAACCAAGACTGACACCAGGCGATTTAATGGATTCAGAATCTTGGAAACTGTCATTGATGGTCTGATAATTAAGGGGATTATTTACCACGGTGATATAAGAGGAGTGGGTTTTGGGGTTGCAGGAAATATCTACACACTTCACAACGTCGAGCACGAGGGCTTTGGAGTCAGAGTGAGGAAGACGTTGACTGAGGAGACCCTGGTCAAGCGAGACTAAGTTTTCACAATCGAGAAAGGGTCAAACTCAAACCAGCACTCCTGGTTAAAACGGATGCAACGGTATCCAGTGGGGATAAAAGTGACTTGTGACTTGCGGTGGTAACGTCACCAAATTACCACCCCAGGGATGTGTTCGAATCCCACCGCCACCGCCTAACTTTCCCCAGTGTATTGAATGGCAGTCCTCTGATTGACCGCTTCCCCCTTCCTGAAAATTGTATCTTTGTATATTCAAAAAAAGGAAGTAAAAATGAAAAAGAAAACTGAGAGAAATTGTAAGAGTCCAATAGGTGGGATAGTCGGAGCACATTTTCGAAGTTTCAGTGGTACAGAGGTGGAGGAAAGGAGACGGCACTTCCCTGAACTTTCCTTGGAGGTTGGTTTTATTCTGGGTGATCTTCAACAATTAACGGTCGTTTCAAGTGGCAACCACCGGTGGATCGGCGCCGAAATAAATGATGTAATCTGTTCAGCGCACAGGCTCAATCGATGTGTCGATAACGGACCGTGAAAATGAGTTTTTAGGTCTTAAATTCCCTTAAAAACTTACGGAACTCGTCCGAAGGAACGTAACCGCGGGTCGGAAAAAGATTCAGAGTCAGCAGCGAACTGTTTTAGTATACACCCACGTTGTGGTGGACAGCAGAGGACCTCTTGTTTACTCAAGAACCGAATAATGCCCCAATAGGGTAGGTGATTTATTGAGTCCATGCCAGGAGAAGAGCTGGCACGTGTCTCACAAACCAGCTCAAGGCAGATCTCATCTCACAACGGCTCTTCTTTAACCGAAAGTCTAAACGTGTATGCTGTTGAAGAGACTTACTTCGATTCTTATTGTAACATTTTTCGCACTGCTGTGTCTGTCTCCTTAGCAAGACAAAGCCGCTTCAGGATGGGGATGAAAAACCTATTGGTCCGGATGAAAGTGGATCCAGTAGGACAACAGTGGTTGTAACAAAACTGGAAACAATCGATAGGATGTTCACAACGAGAGGAGTTACTGACACCATCAAAAACATTAAATAGTAGTGTAAGGAACACAGTGAACCATGAATCGATGACAAACCAAACCATAAGTGAGAACACAACGCGTTCATCTGAGGATAAACACGCACCTGTCACATCGTTAGGCGGAATGCGTGGTGCAGATGTGTTTGGACCACGTGCACCACCCGATTTTGCACCGGCTGCGCCCATTGCTCCCATTGCGGCTGCAGCTGCAGCATCCTGTCCGTCTGCGATCAGCTGTTGAATCGGTGCGGCCAGAGGAGGAATAGAATGAAAATGTGATGAACCAGCACCGGCGGCTGCTGGTGGTGGAACCGGAGGGGGTACACTACTGTATTGACTGCTGTTTGCCCCAGTACCGCATTCACCGCCAACCATTAGACCGGAGGAATTGTTGGGGTTGTGCAAATGATGATGGTGATGATTGGTTCCGGGAGTAGATGTCATATGAGGTCCGCCACCAAACTCCGCACCTGGTTGCGTGGGCGCTCCAGCTGCAACAGTCAGATTGGTACTAGTTGTGTTGTGGCCCCAGTTAGGTGGAGGAAGAGCGCCCACTTCACTCACGCTATCTACCTCCTCCAGACTAAGACAGGATAGATCTGTGTGGACAAAAACAAAAAAAGATAATAACTCTTCATTAAAATTGTAAAAAGAATATATAGATATGTCGATTGTGAAAAGTTCAGTAGCCTCGGTGGGATTCGAACCCACGCATGGACGCCGCCTACCTACGCTTTGTACGCGTAAGCTCTACCAGCTGAGCTAGGAGACCACACCGATAGCACTGATCTTTTCACATTCAAATTTACCCACCCAACGTACAGAGGCATGTGGCATCCACCAGTTAGCATGTAAGCTGACTGCCTCGACACGTTTTTCCTCAGAATTCACCGGACTCCACCGAATGAGCTTCTAAGACAAGGTTAATTGTT